TTTGAGAGAGAGAGAGCATGAGTAGGGCAGAGGGAGAGGGAGAAGCAGACTCCCTGCTGAGTAGGGAGCCCTTGTGGGGCTCAATCCCAGGACTCTGAGATCATGACCTGAGCTGAAGGTAGATGCTTAACTGACTGAGCCACCCAGGTGCCCTCTTTGGCTTTTCTTAAGGCATTTTTTTTTTTTTAAGTCTGTGCTTATTGGAAGTTCCAGGTTCCAGTGCTCCCTACATTTTATATGTAGGTAAAAAGAAAACCTAAGGAATTCATGTATTCCTCAAGTTTTGAGAACTCTGCCTTTCTCTTTCTATGTTTCAATTTTCCTGTATTGGTTTGTTGTGTTGTCTATGGTATTTTAATTGCAGGAGGGAGGATTAGAGGAATGGGCCTAGTCCACCATTGCCAGAACTGAAAGTCCAAAATTATTTTTTTATTTTTCATACAGTTCTGTGTTCTGATGTCTCCTTTATCTTTCTTATGATTAGTCATTGTGTGTTATATCTTTTTTTTTTAATATGTTATGTTAATCACCATACATCATTAGTTTTTGATGTAGTGTTCCGTGATTCATTGTTTGCATATAACACCCAGTGCTCCATGCAGTATGTGTCCTCCTTAATACCCATCACCAGGATAACACATACTCCCACCCCCCTCCCCTCTAGAACCCTCAGTTCGATTCTCAAAGTTCATAGTCTCTCATGGTTTGTCTCCCTCTCCGATTTCCCCCCCTTCATTTTTCCCTTCCTGCTATCTTCTTCTTCTTCTTCTTTTAAATATAATGTATTATTTGTTTTAGAGGTACAGGTCTGTGATTCATCAGTCTTACACAATTCACAGCGCTCACCATAGCACATATCCTCCCCAATGTCTGTCACCCAGCCACCCCATCCCTCCTACCCCCCACCACTCCAGCAACCCTCAGTTTGTTTCCTGAGATTAAGAATTCCTCTTATCAGTGAGGTCATATGATATATGTCTTTCTCTGATTGACTTATTTTGCTCAGCATAATACCCTCCAGTTCCATCCACATCATTGAAATGGCAAGATTTCATTCCTTTTGATGGCTGCATAATATTCCATGGTATATATATACCATATCTTCTTTATCCATTCATCTGTTGATGGACATCTTGGCTCTTTCCATAGTTTGGCTTTTGTGGACATTGCTGCTATAAACATTGGGGTGTACATACCCCTTCGGATCCCTACATTTGTATCTTTGGGCTAAATATCCAGTAGTGCAATTGCTGGATCATACAGTAGCTCTATTTTCAACTTTTTGAGGAACCTCCATACTGTTTGCCAGAATGGCTGCACCACCTTGCATTCCCACCCACAGTGTAGGAGGGTTCCCCTTTCTCTGCATCCCC